GCATTTTTGGCGTACCGAAATAACGTCTCACAAGCTGGTAAGAGAACTGTTTATGCACATCGTGGAACGCTTCGCTCCGCTGTGCTCGAGACGAGACGATTCCAACATGAAATCAACATGCATATGAATCGCCTTTCTCACGTGTTGAGTCCATGTCTATCATCGAAGAAGTTTCACCCAAGTGATATGAAGAACATATTTCACAAACAACTGCAATTTAGCGCGAATATCGGTTGACGCTTTACGTAAAACGGGTGAAACTGGGGAAATATATGTAATCACTTTCCTCAGCTGATTATAGAGATTCTTATGCGAAATCGGGCAGGTGTGTTCAGAAATCACCAGCAGTTTCCCGAAAATTTTTTTCACATTGAGGAAAATATTAAAAACTCTCAAAAATGTAGAATTATGTCTCCGGCATATGTAAGCGACGATATGCATATTTTCCCACACTGGTTTTTAGTCTCCCTGTAGGTGACTTATCCTCATTCGCGCTCGTTCTAACGCTGGAAGGTGTGCGCAATGATTTTGCATTCTCTGAGAATGATCTCTGGTCAACGTTCGTGAAGTAAGAAGGTGCATATTTTTCTATACTCGTTTTACGTGAAGTGGCGTAAAACTCTGTGAAAAAACGTGGTGATATTCGCGGTGATATGCAGTAGTCGTGAAATATATTTTCCACTAGTGTTTTTCATATCACTTTTGATATGCCATTTCACCCGTATAAATGAGTTCATCTGATTGAGGTTTTTTTGCATGAAAGTTTGAAAAAAATCAGTTTTTCTCCTGAAATTTTCCTGGGAGTTCATCAAAAAAATTGAGTTTTAATCTCTTCTGGATCTCTACGATTCATTATTCATTTCTGGGGTATTCTTGTGGCATCAGTTCTGGAGAAGAAAAATTGAATTTTTTATTGTTATGGGGGAAAAAATTTCAGTCTATATGGAAGTGAAAAGCACTTCGTAGTCAAAATTGAACATTTTCATAGCAAGGCGAAAATTATTCTCACTGTTGTTGAAGTTTGTTCATTCTCGTTGGTCATAATTTCATACAATCTCTTTAGATGAATTTTATGATGTTTTCGGAAATTTTCCATTTTTTTTTCATATTGTGGAAATTTACACACGATTTACGGTAGCAGTGTACAGAAAGCAACAATATTCTCCTCACCTGTGGTGGACCATGTGCATACATTTCCATATTCCCCGAGAATCATTACTAATTTTATTGTGTGTGTCGGTGTTAGTATTTGTTGTTGTTATTTTCGAGGTACGGTCCGCTGAAAACAGTGCAGTTGTTGGACTCGGTTTCGGCGCCCGATGTGGCGTTAGTCGAATTCCAAGAGAATTCAGATGCACAAGACTGCCAACGTCATCTAGATGGTCAGTTATTCAGCAGTGTTGAAAAATATGTGAAAATTTTGGGAGTAAATTTTTGTTGGTTTTTGTACACTTATACCCTAGTTTTATAATTGAGAACACTTCTGAGCTCAGCTGAGGAAGGTGTGTATATTTTACAACACTGTTGTTTAGTGATGAAACTTGTAGTTATAGTGGTTTCTGTATTTTCATGTACTAGA